AAATCAATCCTTAAAAAGAGGAAAGCATATAGAAACTGCAGAGAAACAATTAGTCTCAAAATTAATTACCCAAGAAGCAGGGAAATGAAGAAAGAGAGACTAAAAAGGGTAGAAGATGGGAAGAGGCGTGGAAAGACGAACAAAATGAAAGATATAACGGGTTAAAAAAGGTGATGAAAGCGCGCGCCGACATACAAGTTAGTTAAAGAGAAAACCCTAATAAACTAGAGTCCATTGTCTTTCTAATCTAATTATTAGAAGGATCTTAAATTAGAAGGATTCTAAAATGATAAGCCGTGTATACTAAACTAAAGGAGGCGTACAAGGAGAAGGTCACTAGTCTTTTAACATTACATTAGAAGGATATTCTAAACCGATGATACTTATGTTCTTTTTTCTTCTCAACATTCTCAATTACCGTACACTCCATTATTTCTTCTCTATCCGTTTTCTTTTTTTAGGAAAAGTCCAAATGTCCAATATTATTTTTTAATTTCTTTCTTCCCACTTTTTCACCCTACCGTTTTATTACTTTTACTTTCTTTCTTTTTTTTTTTTTTTTTTTTTTTTTTTTTAAAGATCCTGCCGAACACTGTGTTAGCCTTTTCCCTCAACTGATCATTGCATGAGACAACTTCCCCCACTTTTTTTTTTTTTCTTTTAAAGAAGAAAAAATACAAAAATAAAATAATAAAGAAAAGGCTATTGTTTTATGGCTGTGGGGACCACCGTGAGACTGTACGGATGGATGCCATCTGTATTAGAGTAGGAAACAAACGGTGGAAAAAGGCCCGAATCTCGATCATTGGAGCGGTGGTGCCCGACCACGCCATTCATGGCCATTATTTCCGCTGATTTTCTTTTTTGGTAACTTCTACAACTCTCATACGGTACATTTAAATATTTTTAGCCATCAAATTAGATTTTAGGAGTTTTTTTTTTTAAGAGAAGAAATTAGATTTTATGAGTTTAATTTTATGAATAGAAATGATTCTATTGAAAAATAAATATAATTCTTAGTAAAATTCTTTTTTCCAATACCAATAAGATAAAACAACATACATTAATACAGAGTTTTCTTTAAAAAAAAAAACATAATTTTTTATTCTAATATGATTTTGGTGTAATTTTATTGCTAGAAAAATTTAACTACGTTAGCAAAAATATGTTTTTGTTATAGCGGTCATTGCCATTGTTTTATTTTTACCAAGCCGAAGGAACCAATGAAATAGTGGTTAGATTTATGTTTTGCCGTGATTTTATTTTATTTGTTTTTGGTTGTCTTATTGGTTATTATAAAAGCCCCCGTCAAAATAGCCAATCATTTTCTCTAACTAATGCATGACAAATATGGGAGAATGGTTTTAGTTTAGAAGGGAAGATTCGAGTTTAACGAATTATACGAGTGAGTGACTTTTTGTCTTTTCTTTCTCATGACAGTAGGTGATTTGGCATCAAGAATAATTGAGGCCAAAAGAGATACTTGAGAATTTCAACTTGTATTGAAATTTATCTATCACGCCCTAACAAATTTATTACACTCTACACCCTGGTTTTTTTACAATCATAGTAACAAATGCTTTTTTTTTTTCCCCTTTCGTGTAAATTGAAAGGGTAGCCCTTCTAATTTTTGGTACCAACTCACTAATAAATTGTCATTTTTACTGTAAGAGATAAACTCATAGACAGTGTCTTAATTTTTTCTCTCTCTATAATTAGTTCATGTAGTTAACTTTCTCTTATAAATAGTTCCAAAATAAATACCTCATAAATGATCCCTCTATTAAATTTTGAATGAAAATCATTAATTTTGTCTCATAAAAGTTCCATGAACTATCTACTCTATTTAAAAATAGTCCTTATGTAAAAAATTATACTAAATTTAATCCCTAAACTTAAAAAGTTGACAAAATTAGTTAGTTTATTAATAACTAGAAGTAAAAAAAAAAAAAACATTAAATATAAGAAGTTGTACTAAACGTAGTCCTACACTTAAAAAAAAAAAGAGTAATTCTATAAACACCCATTATTTCTAAATAACCTGAAATAAACAATAATATTTTTTGTTATAGTAAACAATGTTATAAAATAAACTGTGGGATACACTTTGTTGTACTGTGAATTGTAGTTGTAGTTAATTGCTTTAACTTTTACTATTTTTCTTAGAAAATATTATTCTCTTAATTTGGTGTTGAAGGATTATAATGAATGGGTAAGATATATATGAATATTGTCTTCTTGGTTGAATTCTGAATGCACTGAGTTTCAACGTTTGTCTTATTATGAGTTAAATTTATTTGTAATTTTATTTTTTATATAAATTTTTTTTACTAAAAAAATAAAAAAACTAAAATGAAAAATTGGGTGATTAAAGAATTAAAATGGGTATAATACAAAAGATATTTATAAAAGTACATGTTTTTAAAGTTATTATTATCAGATAATAATAATATGAGAACGTTTATTAACATAGTTGGGCAAAATATCATCACTCAAAAAAAATTATCAAAGTTAACATTTGTGAGTGAATAGATAATAAAAATGTCAAATATATGTGGCAATAAAACTATTTTTGGTATTTTTCTATTTTCAGAAATACACTTGGTACAACTTCTCACATTTAACGTTTTAAACCTATTTATTTAAAAAATAAACTAATTTTGACATTTTTTTCTTTTAGTTTATGAATTAAATTTTGTACAACTTTTAACACATGGATTATTCTTAAAGAGAGAATATAATTTAGGGACCTTTGATAAGATAAAGTTAACGATTTCATCCAAAATTTTACATAATGACCATTTATTTGACTTTTTTAGTTTAGTGTCTATTCATGAGACAAAATTAACAATAACCCTAGAGAGAGAAAAAGGTTCAGGGACTATTCGTAAATTTTACCAAATATAATATATTATTAAAAATTAATGTAACAATCTTTTAGGGTGTGTTCTTTTACATAATTTGAGTTAAAAATATAATATATTATTAAAAATTAATGTAACAATCTTTTAGGGTGTGTTCTTTTACATAATTTGAGTTAAAGTGACTAGACTTAAGATCTTGATTTAAATTAATACATATTTGAGTTAAGACATACCTCTAAAAAATTAGCAGGATTGTAATTAGAACTAAAAAATGTGGTCTATAATTATACTACTTTTTAATAGAGAAATGAGATGTCATATGGCAATAGCAAAAGGCAGAGAGTGATAGCGATAGTGACAAAATAATTGATCTTAGCATTTCTCTTTTTACGAAAAGTATTATAATATAAAGATATGAATATAATTTTTAATATGTTGTTTACTAATAAAAGGTTAAAAATATAAATAAAAAACTTTTTATAAGCTTATTTTTCATAAGCCTTAAGAGTAGGGCTGGCAATTCGTGTTTGCGTGTCATGTTCGGGTCGACATGATACGATTATAGTGAACACGAACACGACACGATTAATAAACGTGTCAGAAATTCAAACACGAAACGCTAATAACACGACACAGCACACGAACACGATTACTAAACGTGCTGTGATGGACCGATACAAAAAAAAAAACACATTTATGACCCGTTTATGACCCAACTAGCAAAAATAGTGAAATTTTATATTGTATTCAAAACTATATTAATTGACTACTTAATATCACTTATAGTTAAAATCATGCATAATAGCCAACACACATTAAAATATCCAAATATCAAACACACATATATATGATACTACTAGATTATCAAGTATATATGTTTCAAAACATACCAATTACCAAACATCCAAAGAAGTTTGAAAACATTACCAAGTACATTTTGATAAGTGTGAAAACATAACCAAACATTTGAATGTTTAAGTGCATAAAACATAAAATAAATATAGGAAAATGTCTTCTTTGAGCCTTGAGGTTGAATGCCCAACTACGATCTGAAAACCAAAATTAGTTACCAGTTGCTTTAACCTATTCATGAAGAAAGAAAACATTTTATTAATGAAAGGAAATTTATAGCTTGGGCATGCCACAAGGAAATTCTTGTTACCTTCCATTGCATTTGAGGTGTTGAGGTTGTGAGAATTTTGAGAAATACCTGAAACGACAGATGAGAGAATGAGAGAAAGAGAAGCCTCCAGAGACTGAGTCAGAAGTAGGGTTTTGTCTGTATATATATATATATATATATGTGTGTGTGTGTGTGTGCGCGCGCGCGCTTAATAAACGGGTCGGGCCAAGCCGTGCTGGCCCGATAACAGCCCGTATAACTAAACAAGTTAAGCGTTTAAACGGACTAGTACGAATCCAACCTATTTATTTTCATATTATTCGTGCCAGCCCATTAACGACCGAATTAGTAATCGTGTGGTCTAAATCCATTTATCTCGTGTCATTTTTGTGTCGTTTTATCGTATCGTGTATGAAATTATCAGCCCTACTTAAGAGGTGGTTTGCTTCAAAAGATCTTATAAAATTCAAAATCACTTTTATATTGTTTATCCAAACATACTCAAAACAACTTTTCAATTTAATAAGTTAAAAATGGTTTTTTAAAGCTGATATTAAAGAATGGGTTTTCTCTATCGTGAGGCCCTCTAAAAAAACTTATTAGTGAAAGGTTTTGGTTGTTAAATTAATTTTTCAATCGTCATATATGCAGAAGAAGTAGTTATGTGTGTCATGTTATAAATTTTTAATATAAATTCTTATAAATCTAATTATTAAAAACTTAATCTAACAGTTAAAATGAATTTTTTAAAGAGTCTCACCGTAGAAGCTGTTCGACGAAGGAAGCGTGAGTTTGGTAAACAAGGAAAGATCCAAGGGCAATAATGTATAGGTGCAGGCAGTTCATAACGGGGATGGGCTATGAAGGTGCCACTCAGAACTTACTATATAGTCTGTTGCGTCTTTAACAAATAATAAATTAAAATAAACAATAAAAATAAAAATAAACAAAAAAAATAATAATAATAATAATGAGATAGGGAGAGAGAGTCCAAAAGACAGAAAGACGCATACCTTAGCGACGCAGAGACACAGCACAGGGTGTCCGTCTCCTACCAGCTCTGACCTCTCCATTTGACCGTTGTTTCTGGTCTCCTCTTTTCTCCTCCCTTTCTTGCGTACGTAGTTATGCTTACGGATGGATCTCTCTTATTATCTTCCTCCCCTTCCTGTTCCTAACTAAGTATGATGAATTTGCTATACTAGCTGATTGCAGACATATCTTATTGTCTGTTTGTTGCTTGCTGGATCTTCTCCTATTCATTTCTGGCTCGCCTGCTCTCTGGACTCTGCTCATAATTTACTAAAAAAAAACAAAAAAAAAAAGGTTTCCCGATCGATGAGGAAGGAGGGCCCACCGTCGTCGTTGAGCTTCTGCGAAACGAAGCCCCTCCTCCTCACATTGCTGGCTTTGACGCTGGTGATGCTCATGTGGAATCTCCCTCCTTACTACCAGAACCTCCTCTCCACCACCACCAACCTCTCCTGCTCCGCCACCTCCGTTAACGCCTCTACTCCTCCTCTCTCCTCCGCCGCCGCCGCCCAGTCTCAGAAGCTCTCCACCACTACCCCTCCATCTCAAACTCAATCTTATACTAAACCCACCGACCCAAACAAGCGAACATTCCAGGCCTATGGCAACGCCGCCGCTCTCTTCGTCCAAATGGGGGCCTACCGCGGCGGCCCAAACTCCTTCGCCGTAGTGGGCCTCGCCTCCAAGCCCACCCACGTCTACGGCCGCCCCTGGTACAAATGCGAGTGGATCTCCTCCGACGGCTCCTCCTCCTTCCGCACTTTAGCCTACAAGATGCTTCCCGATTGGGGCTACGGCCGCGTCTACACCGTCGTCGTCGTCAACTGCACTTTCCCAACCAACCCAAACTCCGACAACTCCGGCGGAAAGCTCGTCCTCAAGGCCTACTACGGCGAGTCTCAACGCAAGTTCGAGAAGTTCACCGCCCTCGAGGAAGCCCCCGGAGCTTACAATGCCTCCAAATACACTCCTCCCTACGACTACGACTACCTCTACTGTGGGTCCTCTTTGTATGGAAATCTCAGCGCCGCCAGGATCCGGGAGTGGATGGCGTACCACGCGTGGTTCTTCGGGCCTCGATCGCACTTCGTCTTCCACGACGCCGGCGGAGTGTCGGCGGAGGTGAGGGCGGCACTTGATCCGTGGGTTAGATTGGGGCGGGCCACGGTGCAGGACATAAGGGACCAGGCGGAGTTTGATGGGTATTATCACAACCAGTTCTTGGTGGTCAATGATTGTTTGCACCGTTATAGGTTTGCTGCGAATTGGACGTTTTACTTTGATGTCGATGAATACATTTATTTGCCGGATGGGAATGGTCTTGAATCTGTTCTGAGCGAGTTGTCGGATTATACTCAGTTTACCATTGAGCAGAATCCTATGTCTAGTTCACTCTGTCTCAACGTTTCCACCCACAATTATTCCAGGTACGCCATTGCATTGATCTTTTCATTTTCTAATTATTCCATTCCATTTCCTGCTGGTATCTCAGATTAGATTCGCCCTCGTAATGCCATACAGAAAGTTAGCCATTTGAGTCTTTTTTTTTTTTTTAGTTGTTTGTTGGTGAATCTAGTTAGCGCAAATGAGTTCACCAATCCACTAATGGATTGCACTGCGAATAATAGGAAAACAGGAACAGAGAAGGAAAACAAATATTTCATTTAAGCGTATATTTGCCCATTTAAGGATTAAAACTTGCATTTTAATGTTATTGTACTCGAATGAGAGGGGAAGAAGAAAAAGAGAAATTAAGAAAGAAAGAAGAATAAGAAAACACTCCCTCTTATTATCATTCGGAATTAGAATTTCATTCTCATATTATTACTAAGTAAAAACGTGAATAACCAGACAGGAAATAGTACGTTCCTTTCATTCTTCTACCGATAGTGGTATGATATAATTTGCACTTAGTATATGCTGTAAAGTAAGATTTGTGCGTTTAGGAGATGCAATCTTATTGAATCTCAGTGCTAATAGTTAATGGTAGCAAAGCAAAGAAAAGATATGTAGCTTAAGCTTGTTTTTCAATGGGATGGTGTTAGTGTAAGTTATTAAAGAAGAAGATGTGTTGTGCTTGCGGTGATTATGTTTCAGGGAATGGGGGTTCGAGAAACTGTTATTCAGGGAGTCAAGAACCGGAATCAGGAGGGACAGGAAATACGCAATACAGGCAAAGAATGCGTATGCGACGGGGGTGCACATGTCGGAGAATGTGATAGGCAAAACGCAGCACAATACAGAGACCAAAATCCGATACTATCACTACCACAACTCAATTTCGGTGATGGGAGAGCCGTGCAGGGAGTGGCTGGCATTGACGGCCAAGGACAACGTGACCTGGCACAATAAGCTGCCTTATGTGTATGACGACAACATGAAGAAGTTGGCCAAAACCATCAAGCAATTCGAGCGCGATTCCATTGGGACTCTGCTAGATCCGCGCTTCTCCTGATCACACACAAATATATATATGATCCTAATACTGTGAGTGGTTGCGGCAATGGCAAAATCAAATGAAAATGGGGGTGATTGCGTGATTTGTATTTTGTGCATATATATGCTCACGCCTTGCCCCTAAGGCCTAATCCTATTATGTGTCTTCCTGGTGTCGTAAATGGTAATGATTCTTTTTTATATACGAGTATAGAGAGATACGGAGTGTTGCTCATTGCTGAGAATACACTCCTCTTCCTCTCTCATGGCCCATGGGGACTCCACACATCTCCCTTGCTCCACCACGTTTCTTTCCAATCTAATTCCAATTATTTCCTTTCTTTTTTCTTTTTTAAAGAAAACCCGCAAAGAAAAAGAGAGGAATTTACCTTACTTTGTGTATGTGAGTAAGAGTACGAGTGGCCCAGGTTGCTGCTCTATTTGCTGCCTCTCTTTTTATTTTTATTCTTATTTTGTTATTTCTTTAGACTTTTGAATGAAAACATTGTTTATTTATTTGTCAAATATTCACTGGAATAGAAATTTATTCTGTAAAGGTGCTTGGTAAGGATCTTGTTCTGACCTCTTTTTCTTTTTTTTTTTTTCTTAAAAATAAGGGGCGAACTACTTTTATAAAGTTAAAAAAAAAAAAAAAAAGGCTCATGAAAGAAAACCAACAATGCCATGTGATTCGTTTCCATGAAATCATTGTTTGATCAAATTGTGGTAATTATAAGGAGGCATTATGCTTTTGCTTTTGCTCAACCGAAACATGAAGGGGACTTTCTTCTTTCTGTCTCTACCATTGGATGGTTTATCACATTATTACATCCAGAATAATTAGCATTACGATCTGAATGGAGGGCTTAGTTTTAGCAAATTTTGCCCCTGTGAGTCATATCCACAGCTGAGTGGATCATGTTTGCAATATGTATGACGTAAAAGAGAATAACCAAACTGTAGTTGGACTTTGACATTGCTTTTTGACCATTAACGCGAGGATTTCATTTTCCTAACGGATTCATTGAAAAGCTGATCCGTAATTTCACCCCCTTCTTCTTTTGTGTCGTTTTGGGTTGTTTTTGTGTCAAATGTGTTTTATACATTTATTTATGAGAATATTATATGTACATTTTGAGAATAGCGTGTAATGGTGAAACTGAAACTAGAGGATCACTTGACTCTCTCTCTCTCTCGCAAATTAACCAAAGCAAAGCAGTTCTTTTAAAGAGGCTACCTACTCTCTCCTCTCTTGTTAGGTATTACGTAGTAATAATGTAATCTGAAAACGGTTTTATGTCCTACTCTTTGGAAAGCCTTTAAAGTTTAAATACATGCCTAGTGGATACAAGTTTTGGTCATTAAATAACAATAAATTATTATGCGAAACCAAAGGTTTAATCCCAAAAATGCCCCTGAACATAGGGAAATTTTTAGGAATTTAACCCCAAATTCAAGGGTTATTTTTGGGAGGGAGTAACCCAAAATAAAAAGGCCAACAGTAGGGCCACATGCAGGGTAATCTTGACCCTTAAAAGTATATATATCAGGACTTTTATATTTTACTCTTAATTCATAACATTTTTAGTTAAATAATTATACTAATAAAAGATTATTTATCAAGAAAAAGAGTTAAAAATTCAGACTCATACACTCTTAAAGGTAAATTCTATAATTTTCTTGTTGAAATCAGCCCACTTTGCTATGTAGGCTAGCCCATTTCACGACCAAATCAAAAGATAAAAAGCACAAATTTAAGGATAATCTTAGTAAATACTCTTTAAAAATGTATGAATTATAATTTTTATTATTTACTCTTTATTTATAACATTTTTAATTAAATAATTATACTAATAAAAAAGTATTTATTAATAATAAAGAGTAAAAATCTAGACTCATATATTTTTAAGGATAAATTTTTTATTTTTAAATTTTTTTTTTAATAATAATTAGAATAGAGAGTTTAAAAACAGAGTAAGGAGAGGCCGCGTTTCTTTTCTTCGGCGGCACAGATAGTTATGATTAGTTTGAAGTGAAGATATGTAGGAATCTAGGATGAGACTACTAATGGTACTTTGTTTTTTTTTTTTGTTGTTGTATTTATTTATTTATTTTTGAATTAAAGATTGTGAAAGGGGAATGTGTGTGGATAAGCTTCAATGGAGAATATGAGGAATGGAGGATCTAATTTCAATTAATTACTTAATTAATAGATCATCTTTGACCTTTTCATTAGCAAATATTATTAGATTTAGATGGACCATCTTTTTTGTGTAATCGGGCACCACACCACTCCACTTTGCCCTTTTTTCCCCTTTGGTGACTCCGCTTTCACTCTGGGCTCAGTGGGAAGTGGGAACAAAAAAGGAACAACACTGTTCAAGTGTTCGGATACAGTTTGGATTTTTTCTTATTTCAGTCATTAGACCTTTTTCCTTTAAAAGAGAAATCTATTCTACTGAACACGTGTGTTGCTCTTTAGTCTAAAATTATTTAAAACCATTTGTTTCACGAGGTTTTTATCACAATTTAAACAGTTTTGTTAATTATTTTATCTAATAATTTTTTTTTTGAATTTATGTTAAAATCTATGAACCTATCGAGGTTGAATGCCTTATGACTGTACCGGACGGGCCTAATGTAATTCATGTGTTTGCTAAATTATTAGTCGGGTTAACTTACTTACAAATAAGGCATGTTTGAACTGTTTTCGTCTGTATTCTGCCCTCTCGGGCCGTTTTCTTCGCTGAACAGCACAAAAAATAAGTTTTGTTTGAAGTGAAATTGTTTGCTTTTTGAAAGAAAAAATATATTTAATTAAAAATTGATAAACAATCATCTTAATACAATGTTGATGACTCATTAGAGAGACAGACGCACGCTTGAGGTCTGAAAATGGGAAAACACCTCATCACGGTAACAACGAGCACACATAAAACTCGAATTGAAAAGAACTCTCAGGTCGAGATAGGCTTTCGAGCGCTGGAGAGATAAATCGCCAAACCCCACAAAGAGGAGACATCTATACGACATAGAAAAAATTATAGCCGGACGAAGACAACCTTATCATGAGACATACAAACGGCCTTAAGCTGATCACTAAAAATTAATAACAAATAGCAAAACAAATGAGGGTTGGGTGGGGAGACCACCGCCCTAATTACAAACACAAAAATTACATTAAAAAAAAAACCTTCGACCACCGCTGTTAAAAGCCTCCAATGAAGGGTAATTGGCCAATGAGCCGTCGAGGGAGAATGCCGGCCAAGAAATCTCAAACACCAAACGATAAACTCGCCTGAAAATAAAGCTCATCCGTTCTGCTTCTAAGCTGTAAACTGATTTAGATCTACCCAAATAGAATCACTATACTGTATACCGCCACTACTAATGAGAAGCTCACGACTAGGCGAATCAAAGGATCAAGTGTCATTGCCAAGAGTCTAGTAGCGTGCCTGAAGACATACTCAGAACTCCAACTATTGTTCACTCTTTTTTCTCTAGTTCGTGTGGGGGAGAGAACGAGAGAGTGGAAAACCTTAAAACCAAAAGATCGAAGTGAAATTGTTTGTTTGACACCTAATTTTCTTCCGTAAGATATTTTTGGCATATAGAAAGTTAAGATGAAAACTACCGTTAAACGAAATCGCTAGTTCCTTCCCCTAATTGGCATCATCCAAGCTACAGATTCCAACTGTATGTCATGCATAGGTTGTTACAACTATTATATTACTTCTATAAAAAAAACCATTATATTAATGGCAATAAATATTTTCTTACACATATCTAGTAGCAAATATATGTCGTTGATGTCTGGATGACCTTTTATTTTTTGTTTTTGGATATTTTTTTTGGGAAGGAGGTTAATTTCCAAATATATATATATATATATTCCGAATAATCTAATTTGACAAGGAACGTCCTAGAAGGAAATTATCCAAAGGGAAACCCTAACATCGAATGCTTGGACTTTAGAGGAAAGAGTTGACTATTGACTAGCGATGTTATGTTATTTTGTAGCTGAGGAAAGATTGCGCCGCCAATACATACACGTGTACTCTGGCGGCGTTTCTATCAAAATATATAAAAAAATTTATTCTTATTATTGCTTTAGAAGATGAAAATAATAGACACGCAGCCATGTCCAAAATATATATATATATATATATATATATAAAGAGACCCTCAATAATTCTAGATTGTCTCACTTTAATCCCACAAGATTCAAAATGTAACAATCTTCTCACTCAAAGTTTGCTTCTATGTACTTCGATCAATAAATGAGACGTTTAGTTCATGGATTAGAATTATTTTTGATTTATGTGTAAAAAACACAATAAAAAAAATTCAAAATCCTATTTCTAATTGTAGCCCACCATTTACTCCTTCGTTCAAAAGAAGGAGAAGTCGTGGAGGCAAATGTGAATAAATGAATCATCTGCTGACAACGTCAAATGTGATTAAAGCTATGAAAAAACTGACACCCTTTTGGCCTAAGGGTTGGTTATGTAACAGAAGTAAACTCCGGGTGCGTAGGTTGCTATATTTTGAGTATTAGGGACCAAAATAGTAAAACACCGAATCTTGTGTGGCTGAAAGTGAAAAAAGAAAAAAAGCATATATAAAAGTTTATTATCGGTTATTCAAAAAAAAAAAGAAAAAATGTTTATTATCGGTTTCGGTTGGGGTAAAGTCGGCGTGTGATTCCGCAAAACATGAGGTTCGATGGAGCCCAGTTGCCCCAAGTGGACAAAAGAAAAGACAAAGTGGGGCCCTATCAGAGTGGAAGTAATAATCTGGATATCGGCGGTTGTAATAACAGAAACACCAATCGTACGGTCATTCATGTCCGTCGATACGATTACTTTTCCTTAGCAAATGCTTTGCACACGTCTCTCCTCCTTTTGTTTTCCCTTTCTTTCTCAATCGTTTTTCTTCTTCTTCTTCGTTCTTTTACTTGTAATAAATGAAAAATTATTAAATGCACATTAATCAAATTTCTTTATTTAAGCTTTGCTTAATAAAATAGATGCTGATTTCAGACCAGAGTTATGAGTAGTGACCGCCTTACATAATAATTTTAATAAGCTTCATAAGCTACTGCGGTTTCCTCTTCTCCAAGACTTGCCTATTTCAGACCAAAAACACCATTTCTAATTCACCACTACATCATGTATATATGTATGTATGTGTATTCAAGCCCTCGTCCCTCTCTCTGTAATTCACCAAGTTTCTAAACCTTTTTCGCCTCTCTCTCTCTCCAGGTACTCTCTCTCTCTCTGCTCCATCAAATATAGATTTATATTTATTCCCGTAATATATGATTTCTTTTATTGAAAGTGAATGAGAGAATTAATACAACCTGCTCTTTATGACCAATAAATTAAAGGGCTTGATTGGATTGTATTTGGCACTACACAGAGTAAGAGTGGTTGGTTTTGAACTTTGTTTGGTGTGGTCAAGACAACAACAAAGAAGAAGAAGAAGAAATTAAGTCATGGTAACATGTTGTTAATTTATCTTTTATATATCTGGTGCATTATATTATAAGATTAGTATAATTATATTCGTTGCTGCTTAAATCAGATTTAATTCATTGCGAGTTGCGTTGGAAACAGGTGAGTCCAGTAGTAGGGAGATTAATGGGAAAAGGAGGAGGAGGAGGAGAAGAAGAAGAAGAAGAAGAAGAAGAAGAAGAAGAAGAAGAAGAAGAAGAAGAAAACGAGGAAGAAGAAGAAGAAGAAAAGATGGGACCGGCGTGGCTGAAGCCGATGTTAAGAGGAAGGTATTTCAATACATGCCCAGTCCATGGCGACTCCAACAAGAGCGAATGCAACATGTTCTGCTTGGACTGCATGGGACCCTCTCTCTGCTCCTACTGCTTAATCCATCACCAACACCACCGTGTTGTTCAGGTTTCTTTCTTTCTTTCTTTTTTTGCCCCCTTTATTATTATTATTATTATTATTAATCCAGATCATTTAATTCTTGTTTCTTTATTGAAATTGAAATTGAAATTGAAATTTTAATTTTGAAATTGAAACAAAAAAAAAAAATTGTTGGGATTCGATTACTGTTTGATATTAGATACGAAGATCGTCGTACCATAACGTGGTGAGAGTGAGCGAGATTCAGAAGTACATAGACATAACAGTTGTGCAGACATACATAATAAACAGCGCAAAGATTGTGTTCCTGAATGAGAGGCCTCAGCCAAGGCCTGGTAAAGGTGTCACCAACACTTGCGAGATTTGCTGCAGATCTCTTCTTGATTCCTTTCGCTTCTGCTCCCTCGGCTGCAAGGTACACTAGACATATATGACACACTCTCTGCATTCTTATTTCCTACATTTTTAAACCGGAAATTCTGTATGGAAATGATTAATATAATGATTTGTGGGTTGGGTTTTTGTTGTGGTAATGATTAGCTTGGGGGGATTAAACGAGGGGACCCAGAGTTGACATTTACACTGAGAGGAGCAGGAGGGAAGCACGGCAGTGATATTAACAATAATGGCTTGGAATGGGGATCGGAATCGGACCAATCAACGACCCCTAACAAGAAGAGGATGAAGACTCATGTTTTCAGTCGTTTGATGGATCATGGGGCTGCTTCTGCTCATCATGTGTTCTCCACTCATGATCAGAGCTCCGGGGATGAAGCCGCCACTGTCGCCATTCCTCCGTCGACACCGCCAATATTCAACCACCACAATTCCCACAGACGAAAGGGTATTCCTCACCGTGCTCCCTTTTGAGCTCTAAAACCCCAAAGAGAGAAAAAGGAAAAAAAAAAAAAAAAAAAAAACCAAATCATAGGGGAGATGTAGGGCCACATTAGTATTGTATAGTATGATTAAGTACTAAGAAGATAAGCTAAACTTTCTTAATTAAGAGCGTGATACGGACAGTGCAAAAGAAAAGGAAAGTGGCTTAGTTGGCTATATTGATGTAAATAGCACAATGTTAAAAAGGGGAAAACAAAAGGTGGTTGTCATGTCTGGTTAATACTTTCTGGATTTGCTGAAATTAGAAAGCTTAGGACAATATTGATAGCTTTTCTTTCTTTTGTGTTGACACGAGAAAGACAGCCCCCTATTGTACAGTGGAATGATCGAAAAATGACTCTGTATATATATATATATATATACACACACATATATGGGGTTTTGGTTAATATTGTTAATCCTTTATTGTGGGAATATTATTGTACACAAAACAGTACAGTACAGAACAGAACAGAACATGTAATCTGGACTGTTGTGTTGCATATAAGATGGCATTTCTTAAAAAAGGTTAAAAGTATTCGTGGCTTATTCTGTACACGTGCATGCGGTTGTTTGTGGCTGCCAAGGGTGATCTGTTTAAGGGAATTTCTGAATCTGAAAAGGTGAGACTACTACTCGTTTCAAAAGTTATGCTCTGTTTTACACACTATGAAGCGTCTCTGTTTTTTTTTTTTGGGTGTGTGTGTGTGTGGCAATGTCTACCTTATTGTTATAATCATGCATGGCTTCACTGTGATTATTACAAGGCCATACCAAAACCAGGTATACATTCTGCTTTTAGTTAGTTAGATGTTCAACTATGATTCCTTTTTATATAAATATAAGAATAGATATAAGAATTTTATGGTAGAATAAAACAAATGTACCTCTTAATAGAATGCAAATTTGTATGAATATATATATATATATATATTCATTTCCATTTGTGTATTTAGAATTTTATATTATATATATATATATATATTTTGTTTTGAGATGATTCTAATAATAATATTATTATTATTATTATTATTATTGGTTCAATATATGTAGGTAGTGATCAGTGGATTGTGACATTTTATGTTGGTTTCCAAATATGAAATGTATTTATGGTTAGTGTGATGTGTGGTGATGGGTGGTCATTGGAAGGTTGATGGGGGTGGATGAGCACGAAATACTGGAGCGTTAACGTTTTTTTTTTTTTAACAAAAAAAAAAAAAAAAAGAGAGAAAAGAAAAAGAAAAAAGAAAAAATTGAATATGCGTATTTATGTGTGGGTGACTGGGTGTTAGTTAAGAATAAGAAAGGGTAATTAAGAGGAGAGTGGAGACGAAACATCAAAATCAATAAAAAGCTTACGTTTAGTTCATGTATTAAGAATCATGATTAAGAATTATTCTCGTTTTATGTGTATTTTTTGTAAGAGAAAAACACTGTAGAGAATCATGAATCATGATTCAGAATCAGAGACGAATACAGAAAATAAATGTCAAGATTATTAGGAGACACGTAAACCCCACACTTCAGCTCCAGGTGCTCCAAAGTCTCATCCACTTGAAAATGATTATTGTTTTTTGTTTTTTTTTTTTTTTTTTTTTTTTTTTTTTTTTTTTTTGTGGATCGGAATCAGCAATATATTGAGTGATAAGTGTATAAGTTAATTACACACACACATATGTGTAGTTATCCATTAGATTACATGTAATATTGTATAAACAATTAGTTGTGGGTCTACTCTTCTCTTGTATGTAGTGAGAGCCGTGAAGAATCTGAAAATTGAAAGACATCACAAGCTCACAAACACAACACACATCACTGCGTCCGACTCCCGCTCTCCTCCGCCAATCGATTCGCATTCGCCCTCTGTCCATTCACTCACTCACTTGTCGCTTCATTCATTCCCCTTTTTTTGCCCCCTTTTTTATTAATTAATAATTGAGTTAATTTATTTTCACACCTACTATTTTATTTTAATTTGCTATTTAAATAATAGTGATTAACGATCTTAGTATTAACATGTGAGTATCCTCAGCAATTTAACTCTAACTCTGGTTAATTAATGGAGTTGATTTGTTAATTATTACAAAATTTGTGGGACTAAATTAAAAACAAATAAGTTTAAAAAATGAAAATGTCATATCACGAAAAGTTTATGGGGCTCAAATACTTGAAAAGAAAATATTAGTGTTTCATTAGTAAAAGAAAATTAGTCATAGTTAAGTTAAGCAATTAGTTGTATATAACGATGACGATAATGTTGAGAATTTGCTTAAGGTTTTGGAAAGGGCCCACAAATGAAAAGACAAAAATTTTACGTGGCGTTGCTTTTGAATAATATTATTATGGAGATTCCTTTTTCAGTGTAAGTATCTCATCTTAAACTCCAATATGAGGGCCACAAATTTGTCTGTTTTATTTATTTATTTATTTATATAGAGGTTTGTTTCGTTTGTTGATGAGTCAGTTTGCGTTTGGGGATGACCACGTACATCTTCCCAATGTTTGTAATATATTTTGTAGGACCGATAATATAAGTCAGACAATACGATTTAAAAATGATATGTATTTTGTGAGTTAAGGTTGAGAAAAGAGATATTTAGGTTAGAATTGGATTGACCTAAAATTGATACGAAAAACACGAGTTAATTTTGAGTTAGACTCGCTTAACCCGAACACGACACGAAACTTCTAAGAAACTAAAAAATATATATTTTATTATATATTTTAGATTTTATTATGAACTTGTGATGTCATAATAGTTATACTCAAAATCTTATACTATTATTTGTTTAATTTTGATAGATGTTATTGTATTTTAGCGTGTTATGAATTTTAAGTTATTTTTAATATGTGAAAAATTAAAGAAAAATATATAATTTTCGCGTCAATTTCGAATTCATAGGTTAATTTCGTATCACGAATCATTTTCGTATCGTATCATGTCGCGTCAATCCGTAAAGTGGTCGTGTTGTGATTTTTAAAAAAAATCGTGTTACGGATTGATTATAAATTAAAAAAAAATGATTAAAACACAATACAAACATGATACGTGACACGAATTACCATCCTTAATATTCTAAAAAATAGTCCTTTTCATGCAGCAATATACACCATAGGCTAGTACTAAAAGATCGTAAGAATAAAAGTTAAGCAAAAAATAAAACATATACGAGGTAATTAATTACTCTAAATTAGTTAATTTAACACATCTATTTTTTTATTTTTATTTTTTTTGCAGTAACGATTATCAACTAAAAAAAGGTCTACTTAAGAGGGGAAAAAAAAAAAAAAGAGGTCTTCTTTGCTGGCAACTACGCAGTGCCATTTGCAACTTAAAATCAAGAATGACGACAACAATAATGGAACACAAGTTTGTACGAGTTTTCCGGGGAATTAGGAGCTATAGACGACACAATCCCTTGTGTGTGTGGGCGCGCGCGCGCGTGTGTATATATATATATATATATATATATATATATATATATATATGTACTTTACTATTGACTGAGAAAAGATAAGAACTGATCATGAATTTGAGCTTGAGTTAATTATCAACCTGATGCCCTACATTTTTGAGGCCCCACTTGACTAAATTGTCTGTCAACTTGAAGCCCGACTATAAGTAATTTCTTCATGAACGTCACATGTGTCTATATTCTCGATAGAAATAAACCATTGATCGAGAAAAGCATAATCTAAAAGTATAAGGTAAATTTTGTGACAAATCTTTAATCTCTAACATATGTAAAAAGGCAAGTCAAAAACTTCTCATTTCTTTTGACATGTGACATCAAATTTTATTTTTCTTTTCTTGTTTTTTAAACATTTTTCTAATTTCTTTTTGTCTTTTCTTTTGTTTCTCAAACATGATGTGTTCTTTTTTTTGTTAAAATACTTTTTTTTTTTTTTTTTTACTTTGTCCTTACTAAAATAATTTATTTTAAATATATCTCTATTTATTAAGGAAAAATATATCCATATTTTTTCCTTTTTGCTAAAGACTTTTATGCAATTTAATCCTTTTTTATGTGTTTTTCAAAACACTTTTTCTTTTTCAGTTGCTCCTATTAAAATAATTTTTATACATGTGTCCCTAACTATTATGTCATGTACACTTATTAATAGCAATATCACCATCTAGGATATGTTGAGATTTGACTTTTTATAATATTACCGTAGGAATTATATGTCAAAGATTTGTTTTTGTACTCTCTCTTTTTTATTTCAATTAGCTAGCTGTCATACCTTGTAAATAGCAATTACCAGCTTGTACAGCTATATTTGTATGCCACCCATTTATATATAAAAGAATATCATATATGCCTCTTGTATACACAAGAGACCAGCGTTTTTTCTCAAAAGTTTTTCCTTCCTTTTTATTATGGTATCAAAGCGGTAAGAATTCTGATTATTTTCCGCCATGGCTGACAAAGCGGCCGATAAGACATTCGTGACCGACAAAGCAACCGATAAGGCATCATTTGAAAATGATCCTTTCTTCATCTACCATTCTGATAATCCCACAGGCGTCTTAGTTTCTCCACTTCTTACAGGTGATAACTATGGATCTTAGTCTCGTGCTATGACTATGGCACTTCGTGCAAAAAACAAGATTGGGTTTGTTGATGGAACTATCGAAAGGCCAAAAGATTTGAATTAATTGGAGCAGTGGAAGCGATGCAATTATTTGGTCTGTTCATGGATACTCAATTCAACTAAGGGTGAAATCCGTGGCAGTATTTTATATGCTGACACAGCCAAAGAGATATGGGATGACCTTGGTGAAAGATTCTTTCAAACCAATACACCAAAAATATTTCAACTCAAGCAATCAATCATCAAGCTCACTCAAGAAGACAATTTTGTTTCCACCTATTTCACCAAGTTGAAGACACTATGGGATGAACTCATTTTTTTCACTGTTGTGGCACCTTGTACCTGTGGCCATGGTAAAGTAATTGCAGCTCGTTTTCAACAAGATCGCGCTATGGAATTTCTCTAAGGTTTGCATGAACGTTATTCAAACCTTAGAAGTCAGATT